ATCAATTGTCAATATATTAGGAGATGGTGTCTGAATCAAGAATTAAGAAAAAAAATTCCCTAAATAGACTTTTTCCTAAACAAAAAGTGCTAATTTTCAAAAGGCTTGTTGTATTTGTGACTCAAAAAAAAAAAAAAAAAAAAAAAACACTCCAATTCTGCTCCGTAACAAAATGTGACACGAATTAGAAATTCCAAAATAAAAAATACTGATGGTTGAATAAATATGTTTGGATATTTTCAATATAGAGAAGGTTCCAAGACAATTTAAATTATTCACCACACTTATGTCCAGCCAGAAGATAGCTTTGTTCACACAGCAGAATTATATTGTATTAATATAAAGTTTCTGGAGGGAACTTACAGGAAGACCCCTGAACTGAGGTCATCCATGAGTTGTGATCAATGTCACAATCAGTAACTTGTATCAAATATACTATGATTTGTATCAAATATACTAATATACAAACATAAGGAATCTCCAAAAAGCTTATGGGGAATGTGTATTATGAAAAAAAACTGTACGTTGATTTAAAATTTTTGGCACTAAAATAAATTTCTATTTGAATTTTATTCTTCCAAGAACTTTTGATATTCTTGCAAGTGGCCGTTATTCTTAAGTTCTTAGGATAGTGTCCTTGGAAGGCCATAATTTTGTCAGTGATTTTGCCGCAAACACCTCAATGCCTCCTCAGGAGTCATTTTCAGAATCTCTATGGAACACTCAAGATTTGACAGAAGAAAATAACAAGATTATAGTCATTTTGGGTTGTTACAGTAATCAAAACAAAAACTATGAGCTTATTTTTTACAAGATCAGTTTAACCAGTTTTAACCAGTAAGAAGTAAAATTTTCTAAGGATTGGAGCCTCCAAAAGTAAGAAGGAGCTTTGGAAATGGACTATTTTCCCTGGTGATGTTCAAGTAAATACTAAATAATAAAGTGAGTATTAATATTTTCAAAAGTCCTTTGGAATCTGAGAATCTGTGATTCTAAGAATATTTGAGTATTTTATAGTCACACTAAATGTGTATTATAATTTGTAAGCACCAAGCCCTTTGTTCTCCACGTCTGTGTTCCAGTGTTAGAGAGCTCCCTGCATTAAAGAGTAGCTCCTACAGTCTTTCTTTCCTCTTCTTTAGCTCTGTTTTTCTCCATAGAATTTATGTCTGATGGGTTCTGCATTTGCATGTTCATTTATATATTGTCTTTGTCTTTACAAGCTCCATGAAGGAAGGAACTTTATGGGTTTTTTTCACTACTTTAATACCAGTAACTAAATTAGAATTTGGCATGAAATAGTCAAATAAGAAATAGACCAAAAAATTACAGAAAAATCATAAACTTGAGAGAGAAAAACATAATTCCACTATTATTTGTACAAAATGACATACCCCAAAACTTTCACAATGGTCACTATATCATATATGCCCAACACTTAATTGTTGGAAAAATAAACTTGTGCCATGACTACATGTATTTTTGTCTCCTCTTTTTCTCAAGGAACACATACATTTCACATAGCTATAAGCATTGTTCATCTTTTTACTTAAAATGTCTTTATCATCTCAGCTAAAGCTTTGGTTGTCATGGCTTGATGGCATTGCCAAAAATCAAATACATTTTCAAATAAAAAGGATGTGTTTCTACTGAGACTACGTGGAAGTAGATGCTAAGGCTATAAAAAACCAATGAACTCATCATTTCCAATTTCAACATCATCTCTCTCATTAGCATCAGTGAAAAGTGCCATGATTATTCTTGGAGGCAGAAAATCATAATGAGTCCAGATCAAAATAACCAAAACATTCTTGCAAAAGAACAAAACTAGAGAATTCACACTTGTTTTGTACAATTTTTAAACTATTTATTTGAGAGGCAAAGAGACACACACACACAAAGAGTGAGACTGAGAGAGAACACTTTCATCTGCTGGCCCACTCCTCAAATGCCCACAAAGAAGTCAGCAGCCAGGAACTCAATCCAGGTCTCCCAAGTGGGTGGCAAGAACTCAACCACTTGAGCCATCACCACCACCTCCCAGGGTGTGCATGAACAGGAAGCTGGATCCAGGTCTCAAACTCACATTCTCTGGTGTGGGACACAAGCAATCTAATCAGCATCTTAACTGCTAGGCCAAACACCCAATCCCAGAAGATTTAAACTTCTTAATTTCAAAATGTCCTAACACAGTACAGTAATTAACACCATGTGGTATTGGCATAAAATTGACAAATAGATCAATAGAATAGAATTTAAATAAAATAATCCCTTCATTTAGTCAATTTTCCACAAATGTGCCAACACAATTCAAAAGGGGAAAATAATCTTTTAAAAAAATGCCAAAAAATTGGGTATCTGCATACAAAAAGATAAATTTATAGCCTTACCTTACATATACACAAACATTAAGTCAAAATGTATAAGCCCAAATTAAAACTCTAAAACTATAAAGCTCTTTGAAGAAAATATGAGTATACCTCTCTGGCCTTAGGTTAGGAAATTTTTTTTTAAGATTTTTAAAAATTTTTTTGAAACGCAGTTACAGAGAGGCAGAGGCTGAGAGACAGAGAGATCTTCCATCCACTGGTTCACTCCCCAGATGGCCACAATGACAAGAGCTGCACCAATCTGAAGCCAGGAATCAGGAGCTTCTTCCAGGTCTCCCAAGAGGGTGCAGGGATCCAAAGACTTGGGCCATCTTCTACCGCTTTCCCAGGCCATAGCAGAGAGCTGGATTTGAAGTGGAGTAGCAGGGACTCGAACCTATTATGCCTCAAAGAGAAAAACTGATAAACTGGACATTGTCAAATTACCAATACTTACTCTTTGAAAGATGCAAAAAAAAAAAAAAAAAAAAAAAAAACAAGAAAAAAAAAACAACAACAAGCCACAGAATGGGAGAAAATTTCTGGAAGTCTTGTATCTGATAGATTACTTGTTTTCAGAATATAGAAAGAAGTCTCAAAACTCAGTAATAAGACAACTCAATTTAAAACTGGACATAAACCTTGAATAGATATTTTACCAAAGGAGGCTTAAAATGCCAACAATCACATTAGTAGCTATGAGGGAAATGAAGAGTAAAACTATCAACCCACACCCACTGAAATGACTATTGCCAGACAAACAATCACAGATCAGGACTGGAGAAACTGGAACTCTCATCCATCTTTGTTCATGGGCACGTAAATTGGCACAGCTATTTTGGAAAACAGTTTTGCAGTTTCCAAAAAGCCCGTTTATATGGACAAGGGTTGTTACAGCAGTTAAGGTGCCCCTTGGAACACCTGCATCCCATATTGGAGTATCAGTCCAGCTCCTTCATTTCTGGCCCAGCTTCCTGCTAATGCTCCCCCTGGGAGGCAGAGACGATTGTCCTTGTGGGAGACCGAGACTGTGTTCGTGACTCCAGGCTCCAGCCTGCCCAATCCTGGCTTTTGCAGGCATTTGGATAGTGAACCAGCAGATGGAAGACCTCTCTCTCTCCTCCCCCCTTTCAAATAAAATTAAGATACAACAACAATTTTTTTTAAAAAAGCAAATGTACCATAGATCCCAATAATTCCACTCCTGTATATCTGCCCTAGAGAGAGGGAAAATGTATATGTTCTCCAAGACTTGCACATAAATATTCATAGCAGCATTATTGATAACTAAATCCTAGAAATAATCTAAATATTCACCAACTATTGAATGTATAACCATAATATATTTTATATATGTATTGATAAATGTATATTTCTATGCATACATATTTTAACATATTTTATATATCCATGTTAAAATTACATTTTAATGAAGTTTTGTAAACTATCTATGAGGATATTTTTTAAAGTTCATGGAAAATGGCATTAAAAGATAAGATTATTTTGGCGCAAAAAATTTACAAAATCTAAACATAGTTTTTTATAGTATGCATTTCTGTCAACTTTTGGAAGACCCTTTGCATGTATTTTAACACATTTTAAAAAAATGTGTTAAACATTTTAACACATACCCTTTTATGTATTTTAACACATTCATTTAACATTCAATTTGTGTGCATATTTATACATATATATAAATGATTTCAAATTATCACCTCTTCAATTTTCAGTGTAGATACACATCTGGATTTAAATTCCATCTCTACCACTTCTTAGCTCTATGCTCCTGGGCTATGAAACCTCTCTGAGTCTGCACCAGTTAAAACATGGACCCAAATACACACCTTTCAAGATGGTGGGATTAAATGAGATAAAACATGGGAAATGCTTAGCACTGGGCTGACACAGTGTCTGTCCTTAATAAATCATACCTTGCATTACTGTCTGTATTTTGGAGATGTTTTTGTTTGCTTGTTTGTTTTTGCAAATCTAGTTATTTCCCTAATACTCTGGTACGGAGAAGCCATTTGTGTGGTGGAGCACTTGCAGCGACTAGCCTGACTTGAAATTTTTCACCTAATTTCTCAGAGTCTCAGTTGCCAAAATCTGTAAATGAGGGGCAGGTTATTCACCTCAAAGGAGTTACAACTAGGGGAAGTATAAGAAAGTGCTTTGTAAACAGCCAGGCACAATACAATTGCAAAGCACCATATTACAATGGTCCTCTGTGTCCATTCCTACCAGTCCACCCACGATATGTTTATGGGAGAACCTGAATAACCACCCAGAGAATACTGTGGAGTCTACTTCTCAACCCCTAAGACTACAATGAAAGAAACTGTTCATGGTCATGGCAGTGGTGGAGACAAGTCATTTTCAAATTAAATCGTACTGCCTGTTTGAACACAAAGTGAAAAGAACTGTGCTGCTCCCTGTCTGAAACATCCTCTGTGTGTCCTCAAGAGCTATCAGGCTCTGCTAAATATGGCCCTGGCCAGTGTGCTAATAATCCCCGCTGGTTCTGGGACCTCCATCCACCACTGATGTGACATTCTTTGTGTTCAAATGTCTAGCTGACGTCTGATGCTTAAAACAGCCCATGCTTTCACCCTCTCTGCATTGTCACAGCCCTGCATCACCAGTCTTAAAAGGCTACGGCAGCCACTCCTAGCACCAGTTGCTGACCTGCCTGCCCACTTGCCTCCCTGCCTGCGTCTGGCTGCCTTGAATGCCTGGATCTTCAAGCTCCTTGTGGGTCTGACAAAGCAGGGACCATGTCTACCTTTGGCTACAGAAGAGGACTTAGTAAATATGAATCCATAGACGAGGATGAACTCCTGGCTTCCCTGACAGCTGAGGAGCTGAAGGAGCTGGAGAGGGAGCTGGACGACATTGAACCTGATCGCAACCTTCCTGTGGGGCTAAGGCAGAAGAGTCTGACGGAGAAAACTCCCACAGGGACGTTCAGCAGAGAGGCGCTGATGGCCTATTGGGAGAAGGAGTCTCAGAAACTCTTGGAGAAGGAGAGGCTGGGGGAGTGTGGAAAGGTAGGCTCTCGGGACTTTTCCTTGGCTGCCCCCACTTCCCCACCTCCACCCCAAACCCAGGCACCTGAGATGTCTCTAACTTCTCAGTCCTTATCACTTTAATTTTCTGTAACTCACCCGTACCTGCTACTGAAAATTTTCCAATGCTTAAATTGCCATGTAACATCCACAGCCACCCAATCGATCTTAACAGGTAAAATGAGTGACTTAAAATGGGAAAATAACTCACAGCCAAGGTGTGGGTTTAATTATTTTCCAAACATGTCTTAGCGGAGTGATAAGTAGGTGATGTGGCATAACATAAATGCTGGTACTTTGAAGAGTTTGTGGAAAAATAGAACTAAATGATAGGTTTACTTGGATGCAAAAGATTTTTGAAATTATACATGGCTTTTTCACAATTCGCATTTTCCATGAACTTTCTGAATACTCATTGTGTGCATATACAATATGTTTCTTTCAGCTAAGTTCATTTATTTTCTTTTTAAAGACGAAAAAAGAGAAATCTGGTGGCTTTGAGTGTGATAGCGGTTACCATAAGAATAGCTTTGACTTTCCAACATTGAGAGGTGTGAGCTGCGGGGAGGTCAGGGACTGGGAGTCAGGGGGGCCTTATTTCTAGTCCTGCTCTGTCCTGAAACTCTTAAGCCTTGAACAGTCGCTTCTTCGGGGTTCTTTTCCCTTCTTTTCCCGTGTCTGCCCAGGGAGGGAGTCAGATTCATTGTTTCTTCTGTGAACCAAGAACTCAGAGTTAAAATGTACATGTGCTTGCGCACATGTCCACAACATTTGCATACAATTTCAAAATGACGACACACATCCTAAACCCAGCTGAGGACCCGGGTTAACTATGCCTATGCACACGATCCCTACGAGTCCTTTCAGCTTTTCAGTGGTGACTCTGAGGCCAGGACTTGTGCTTATATCGAAGCTCGGGCTTTTTGAGCTGCTGTGTACTGCCAGAAAACGATTACTTTGAATTTGCCATGTGAGCCATTTACCGGAAGGAAATTCAGAAGAGTATGCTCTGGGCAAGTAGTTATAGCAATGAAATGTTTGTCTAAGAGAGAAATTCCTGAAATTGTGGCAGAACGTAGGCCAGGAACAAGTTCAAAACGCTTGTGATCTGTTGAAATCGTCTAAAATCAACATGGGCCACGCCAATGGCAAGGCTACCACAGTACTAACTGGGTGCTGTCGGATGCTTGTGAAGGGACGAGGTGTAGGCCCATTTGCACCAAGATAAATGTGAATTCTGTCCATGTCAATCATTGCAGGAAGGGCCACTGGGATCAGGCCAGGGTGTACCAAGGCCACAGTGGCTGCCTGGATTGAAGAGCTAGAAGGAGAGGAGAGAAGAAAAGACACACATGAGATTAGCCAGGATCTCAGCCAGTCAACTCCTCCCAACCTTAATTTGAAAAGGCTTTCCTTTCTCTGATGTGGGAATGAACATCAAACATCTGGTGAAATACAATGGCCTTTTTATTACAGTTATTAAAGAATTTTCTTTATCAAGACAAGAACATTATCCTCTAGGACAAATAGCTCACTGTAGCAGTAACCCAACAAAGGCATTTTAATATCACATTGTCAGGAGGGCAGTGAGAATCAAAGGGTGAAGCCTGTTGTCAGCTGTTGATGGAACTCACCTGATCCTGCCAACAGGCTGCTGCTCCCTGCCAATGGCTTATCAGCTCAATTAGAGAGGCCGCTGTGCTGATGAACTTTGAATCCTCTCTCGGCTAGTTCACTTTTCTCCCACCACACTTTCCCTGCTGGCCAGTTGTCTCTGTCGTCACCAGAAGGGCTGAGCAGAAGAAGCTGATGGAGGGTGTAAATCCATTTCCACCACAGCAAAAACTCAAAGCAGCTGAGGGCTGGCGTGTGCGTGTGTGGTGGGGGAGCAGCTGCAGAAGGGAAAGGCAATGGTAGCACAGACCGTGAGAAGGAGCTGGAGGTCTGAGTGGTCAGGGTGCTGGCTCTGTAACAGTTTCTGAAAACACTGCAATGGCTGTCAAATGAAAATCTGCCCAGCTGGGTTTACACAAAGTAGGCTGTGTTAGAGCACCAAGGGGCCCTGGGAACCCGTCGGTCTGCTTCCCTAGCTTGAGTATTTGCTGGATTGTAGGCACTAGTGCCAGTTTCTCCACATGATCTCATTTCATTCTTACATTCTACACATGAGAACTGAGATGAGGCGAAGTTAAGAAACTCGATGAAGACTAGCAGCTTGTAAGTAGAACTGAAATTCAAATTCAGCTCTATTGGCACAGAACCACAGCTCTCAAGTATGTATGCTAGACCAATGGCCATCTGCAGCACCTAGGAACTTTTTAGAACTGCTAATTTTTCACAAAATGCCGAATGAGAAACTCTGGGGATGGGACCCCCAATCTGTGGTCTAGCAAACCCTCAAGGTGACTGCGACACATACCAAAACTGTGACGCTCAGAACCACTCAACTATAGTTTCCTTAAGACCCAGGTGGGTTTAGTGACTTGTCGAAAGTCAAACACTTCTTTATGGGCAGAACCAGAACCAGAACCAAAAAAGACAAGCATCTTGCCACCTTGTTCATTGCAATGATGCTAGGGAGAGGACCAGGACAAATGCACCAACATTCCCCTTCTCTTCATTCAGCCTCATTGCCACTTCCCCCTCCACCTTCCCTCCCTATCCCCACCTTCCCACCTCCATTCTCCAAAGAATTGGCCTCAAATCCAAAACAGTGGCCTTTTGGAGATCTATATAATTTTTAAAAGAAGCGAGGTTTGGTTTTTGCAACCTCCTACCTCCCTTCTCTAGACCCATTTCTCTCTTCTTGGTGCTCTTCTTCCAAATATCCACCTCTTAAGTGATTGACCATCTCAGATGGTCCAGGACCATCTACAGATGTTAGCCCCAAAAATCCTGCATACTCAGAAATTCCTTGAACTCAGGCAAATAGGGTAACCATCTGTCCTCCAACGCCCACCTGCCCCTATCAATACTTTTTCCTAGGTCTAGATTCTACTCTCTGTGGTTATTGATCAATGTCAGCTTAGATCCATTTGGTCAACAAATATTTATTGAAGCCCTACTACATGCTAAGCATTGTGCTAGGTGAGCAAAGCAGACAGGGCCCTTGCTCTCACCCAATTGTCTATTGGAGAAATGACAAATAAAGTGCAATAAATACTGGGGGTGGGGGATAATGATGCATGAAAATATGTTACAGGGATAATGTGAAGGCTTTCTGGATGAAGTGTAATTTAAATGTCACAGGACAGCTCATATTGCTGGAGAGCAGTTTTAGATATTATTTTTCCAGGTACATTTTGATGGGAAAACAGCTCTTGCAGGCAGAGCCTAAAGAGCATTAAACAACCAAAGGGGATGAAAGTTAACAGTGGCATAAAAGATAGTACACCTTGGATTTTGAGACACTTTTCCTTCAAATACTAAAACAACTAAAAATGTGCATTGACAGACACACACACATATACTCAGCTGACACAAGGGAAAGGGATTTGGGGTGGTGTGGGGGTGAGGTGAACTCTGCCTACAATTCTTCTTTCCGTCAATTAATCCATTTGCTCCACTTCTGGGCACATATAAAGCTTCCTGACCCTCCTCATAGAGAATGAGAGGCTTGGTTATAGCCCAACTTATTCTTTTGAGCTGCTGGGTTATGACTTCCAGCCATCTGCCACCAAACATCACACACACACACACACACACACACAGGCACACACACACACGCAGTGTTCCTCTCCCTGTTGCTCCTGAAGAAGTGAGTAAATTAAGACTGGACTAGTCATCCCAGGAGTGCCTGACCCCTTCCCCAGGCCATCACTTGGTGCCTGCCACTCCAAACAAGTGGATAACTCAAAGCTATTTTGTGATCGCAACTGGGCAAACAAACCTGGAGACAAGTGTGGTTTTCCAAAGCTCATCCACGTGCCTTGGGCAGCAGCAGGCCTTAGGGTCAAAAAGAATTTTCTATATAGGGAGAAGAAAGAATATGCTTCCAGGACAGAGAGTGCCCCGGGGCTTTAGAGAAGGTAAGGAGAACTAAAAAGACTGCATGAGGAAAAATTGGATTTTGGCAATAATCTCGAGACTTTTTTAATCACAAAAGATAACAAGAAAAAAAGAAAGTCACTTGGGCTTCATTACACAGCAAGTCCTATATACAGGAAGGACAAAGATATAATGAAATTCTGTTTACTTGAAAGCCTTCCATAATTGATACATTTTAAGTAATTGAAGCCCATCAGAATGAGCAGTGGCTTTCTTCAACATTTCTTTTTTAAGATTTATTTATTTGAAAGGCAGAGATACAGAAGGAGAGAGGAAGAGACACAGAGAGAGAGAGAGAGATCTTCTATCCCCTGGTTCTCTCCCCATATGGCTGCAATGCCAGAGCTGCACAACAGCCAGAGCTTGGCTGATCTAGTCAGGAGCTAGGAGCGTCTTCCAGGTCTCACACGTAAGTGCAGGGACCCAAGTATTTGGGCCATCTTCCACTGCTTTCCCATGTACATTAGCAGGGAGCTGGATTAGAAGTGGAGCAGCCGAGAGGGATATGGGCACTGCAAGCAGTGGCTTAACCCACTACACCACAGCAGCCAGCCCCTGCTTCAAGATTTTCTACCATTCTCTGCTATTCCACATTACTGGCCAGATCTAGTGCTTTCCAAGGATGGTTCTCTTTCCCACCTGGTCTCCTGCAGTCCATCTCATTTAACCCTGAGCTAGCCAAAAGTTTCAAGTTGCTGTGCCCAAAAGAGTGACCTGAGTATTTTTCTGCTTGGACCTGGAGTTTGACTTCCTGCTGCCCAGAGCAGCAGCAACCCCTTTTCCAGATCAGGAACAGGTGGAGAAGCCCCTCTCAGGTGCTGTGGAGCCTCGTAGTCCCTGTGCCCAGCTCTGTTGCTGAGTAAATAAATGCTATAGGGAGCGAATGACACCCCTGCTTTGTCTTCACCGAGACAAGGCAGACAAAGAACACATGGCTCCTGTCACATCTGCTATTGACACAAATTTGGGGAAGAATTTTTGAGCATTAAATAGGGGAATTCATTTACACGTTACATATTTTTGTTGTCATTTGTTTGTTTGGTATGGAGAAATAAAGAAGAACAGGGGCGTGATTCCAGAAGGAAAGGTTAAATTTGCCAAATATAAGGAGCAAGGAGTTAAAAAGGTCAACTCTGGGAGTCAAGAGAGAGAAAAATTTATCAAATGTTTTCAAAGTCAGGGTTCCAACTGATTTATTCAAATTGGCAAAACGATAACATATTTCTATTCAATAAGTTGAACTTTGGATATCTGTACAACACAAAAGAAATGTTTGTAGAAACAGCTATTGATGGTTATGCAACAGAACGTTAACCTTGGTCACACGAATTGGAGAAATCAGAAGCAGAGTATTGTTAACTGTTTTCATTGTAGACTTTCCTATTTCTTGCCAGGAATTACTTTTTTTAAAAAAGATTTATTTATTTATTTGAAAGTCAGAGTTACACAGAGAGAGAAGGAGAGGCAAAAAGAGAGAAAGATCTTCCATATGCTGGTTCACTTCCCAATTGGCTGCAATGGCCAGAACTGCAGCGATTCAAAGTGAGGGGCCAGGAGCTTCTTCCAGGTCTCCCACTTGGGTGCAAGGAATCAAGGAACCTGGGCCATCAGCTACTGCTTTCCGAGGCCACAGCAGAGAGCTGGATGGGAAGTGGAGCAGCCGTGTCTCAAACGGGTACCCATATGGGATGCCGGCACTGCAGGCGCTGGCTTAACCCGCTATGCCACAACGCTGGCTCCCTTGAATTACTTTTGCAAATTAAACGAATGTGTTTAAAAATGCTAATAAAGACAACATGTTCTTTAGGTTGCAGAAGAAGACAAAGAGGAGAGTGAGGAGGAGCTTATCTTCACTGAGAGTAACAGTGAAGTTTCTGAAGAGGTGTACACTGAAGAGGAAGAGGAGCAGGAGGAGTCCCAGGAGGAAGAAGACAGTGAGGAAGAGGACAGTGAGGAAGAAGAAGGAGCAATCGAAACTGCAAAAGGTATCAATGGAACTGTCAATTGTGATGGTGTCTGCGCTGACAATGCTAAGCCAAAGATATTTAAAAGTCAAATAGAAAACATCAACCTGACCAATGGCAACAGTGGAAGGAGGGCAGAGTCGCCGGCTGCCACACACCCTAGTGGACGGAGGACAGAGTCGCCGGCTGCCATACACCCTAGTGGAAATCCTACAGTCATCGAAGATGCTTTGGAAAAGATTAAAAACAACGACCCCGACACCGTCGAAGTGAACTTGAACAATATAGAGAACATCACAACGCAAACCCTCACCCGCTTTGCTGAAGCCCTCAAGGACAACACGGTGGTGAAAACATTCAGTCTGGCCAACACGCACGCGGACGACAGCGCAGCAATAGCCATTGCGGAAATGCTCAAAGTCAATGAGCACATCACCAACGTCAACGTCGAGTCCAACTTCATAACGGGAAAGGGCATCCTGGCCATCATGAGAGCGCTGCAGCACAACACGGTGCTCACGGAGCTGCGCTTCCACAATCAGAGGCACATCATGGGCAGCCAGGTGGAGATGGAGATCGTCAAGCTGCTGAAAGAGAACACGACGCTGCTGCGGCTGGGGTACCACTTCGAGCTCCCCGGACCAAGAATGAGCATGACGAGCATTCTGACGAGAAACATGGATAAGCAGAGGCAAAAGCGGATGCAAGAGCAGAAGCAGCAAGAAGGGTCTGATGGAGGAGCCAATCTTAGGACCAAAGTCTGGCAAAGAGGAACGCCTGGCTCCTCCCCATATGCCTCTCCCAGGCACTCGCCCTGGTCATCCCCCAAACTCCCCAAGAAAGTCCAGACAGGGAGGGGCCGGCCTCCATCTCCTGTGGCCACACCCCCTCCTCCTCCTCCACCCCCTCCCCCACAGAGGCTGCCACCTCCTCCTCCACCCCCGCCCCCTCCTCCTCCTCCAGAGAAAAAGCTCATCACTAGAAACATTGCAGAGGTCATCAAACAGCAAGAGAGTGCCCAAAGGGCATTACAAAATGGACAGAAAAAGAAAAAAGGGAAAAAGGTCAAGAAACAGCCGAACAATATCCTAAAGGAAATAAAGAATTCTCTGAGGTCCGTGCAAGAGAAGAAAATGGAAGACAGTTCCCGACCTTCTACCCCGCAGAGATCAGCTCATGAGAATCTCATGGAAGCAATTAGAGGAAGCAGCATAAGACAGCTAAGGCGGGTAAGTAACCTGAGAGCGAACATCCAGGCACAGAGCTAGTCAGTGGGTCGGCGGCCAATGCGTGGTGGCACCAAAGTTGCTTTTCAGATGCTGGTTAGTATTTCAGCTGTCTGGGTATGTGAGAGCAAGTGTACCCAGTCTGAAACATTAGGGCAGGAGCACAAGTGAGCACATTTCCATTTGACAGCTACTGGGCCTCCTTCTTGGTGTCTCAGTCCTCTACCTTCCAGGACCATTTAAGACACTCCAACATTTAAAAACCCCAATTTCTCTAAAGAAAAATCAGACAGTATAACATTTCAAAATGATTCATTCACCACTTGTTAAACATTTTCCCAGAGTTGCATGTGATTTCAGACTTAATAATGTAAACTTTGGAAACCATGCAGCAAATCATTAATCTGTGCTGAGTTCTTCTCAGAGAATACTGCTAGAGACATACCCTACAGATATTTTCCGCTTTATCATTTGTGTTGTTTCATTGAAGAAAATTCCCTGTTTTGTAGGTGGAAGTTCCAGAAGCTCTACGATAAATGCAGGATCTGTGGAAGAGGATGCAGAACTGTTTTTGGTGGCATCAAATAAAACGCATTGTGAGATGTTTCTAAGATAGCTTCTTCAATTTGAAGTGTTCCTCGACTTTACAAAGAATTTTAAGAAACAATCAGCATGTTTCTTCTGTAAATATGAAAATAAACTTTTTTTATTTTACAAGATTTGTATTGGCAAGAAGCAGTTAAAGATGCTCTTCATATCTCTGAATGTGTTGGGAACTCTGAGCTGTAACAAGGTAATGAAATGTGCTGTTATTTTTATAATCCCAATAAATTTAGATTGAGGGTTTTTTCCTTTTTTTAAAGCTAAACTAATATTTTCCTGTGCATTTATACACCTGTCAGGAATGTATGCAACCTTGCAGATTATTAAAAATATTACATTCTCACCCAGAAAGAATTTGGGTCCTTAGCATTTGCCTTTCTTTGTGTCTTCATGTACAAAAAATCTGATCAGATTTCTTTCTAAAGGACTGGTATAAAGAACGTCCTTAAAATATTCTTTTGGTAATAACAGGCTGAGGAAAGAACCTCCAGTGTGGCTGTTACCATTCTGGATTCATTGACGTTGGACCCAGATGAAAAGCTGATGCCCCCCCCCCCATTTCCAGAAGGCTGACAGGGGTCCAGAAGTCAATTCATTCATTGATTATTAAAATCAACTACTTATGGAAAGAAAAAAAGTTGGAAATTAGGAATTTTCTTGAGAGAGAGGAAATCCGTGCTGGAAGAATGACAGGAAGATAAACTCTCTAAATCCAGAGTTACCTTGTAGCAGATGATGGAGATGTACTCTGAAGTCTACCCTTGAAGTCTGCTGGGACAAGCCTTAGCCCAGTGGATCTCAGCCATTTTTTTAAGTCCCATACACATCGTGGTGATGCCAACCTCCACAAACTCACCTTAAGGTGATTCCCAGCAATCATTCCACTCTATCCTCTGTCACTCAAGAAGTGTTAAAGTCCAATGAGAGAAAGACCTGTGGGACAGTACCTTTACTCCATTCTAGTGCTCCATGCTCAATTACAAAAGCTATAAATCTTCTGTAAAGTCCTTTGTATTAACTGTGATTAGTGATGTATCCTTTGTATCCTGCAGATTAGAGCAATGGTCTTGGCAGGCTCCCTGGGCCGCCCATTCGACAATTGTTTGCATTGTGTGAAGAGCTTTGGATTTTCTCCAATTAAGAGGATTGTGCTTCACTAGAAATTTCTCCAATCGTTCTTGGATCCATTTATTTTTGTCTGTTTCTATGGTTGAGCCATTCTCTTTATCAGTAATAATAACTACTGATATAGCCACTTAAAGAGTTCCGGAGGTCCAGGAGCTGTCAGTGACCTGGCTTGGTGTGAGGGGGCTGGCAGGTGACTGACAGTTTCTGAACCAAGTTAGCTACTGCACTTTTCCTAACGACATTAAATAGATGAGGAAACTGAGGTGCAGAAATGTTAATTTTGCAGTGAGTTGAATGTGGGTGTCTCTGACTCTAAAACCCATGCCCCTTCTGCATCACTGCACCTTGCTGCTTCCATCCAGACTCAAATCTCCAACCACCACCCCACCACCACCACTGTTAAAACAGCAGTGGGGATTCTCTTTCCTTTTGGAGTGAATTCTGTTTCTATTAGTATTGGCAGTTTGTTAAGGAAGTAAAACCTACAGTTTAGGTTTTTTAAAAGGGGTGTGTGTGTGTGAATTTAGAACAGAAACCCAGACAGACCATACTTTACCCTGATTCCTCCTTGTGTGCAAGCAAACTGAAGGGGAGGAATGAGAGGTGAACAGCTTCCAGCTCCATTCTGATGATGCAGAGCAAGTGTTTGCTAATCATCCTGGTTGCTGAGGCAACAGTGCAGGAATCCCAAAAGCGGACTGGGTGGCAGCTCTCCTGAGAGAGCAGGGAAAGGCTAGTATTTTTGTTGCCAGCAGCAGGTTAGGGTGGAGAGCTTGACCAGGTTTCTGACCAGAAGTGAGTGATAATGAGACATATTTTCTCCTATGCATTTTATTTTATTATTTTTTGAGATAGCATATTTTAAATTTCCATTATAGCCAAAGGCTTATTGGCCTCACTAAATAAACAGTTTATTTATTTTTATTTTTTTTAACAGGCAGAGTGGACAGTGAGAGAGAGAGAGACAGAGAGAAAGGTCTTCCTTTGCCGTTGGTTCACCCTCCAATAGCCGCCGCAGCCGGCGCGCTGCGGCCGGCGCACCGCGCTGATCCGATGGCAGGAGCCAGGTGCTTCTCCTGGTCTCCCATGGGGTGCAGGGCCCAAGCACTTGGGCCATCCTCCACTGCACTCCCTGGCCACAGCAGAGAGCTGGCCTGGAAGAGGGGCAACTGGGACAGAATCCGGCGCCCCGACCGGGACTATAACCCGGTGTGCCGGCGCCACTAGGTGGAGGATTAGCCTATTGAGCTGCGGCGCCGGTTCAAATAAACAGTTTAAAAAATAAAAAGTGAAAAGAAAATAGTCCAGCAAAAAAACAGGCACTGGCTATACACAATAATCAAAGGAAAAGATATTCAACTTCATTCATATAAAGTAAATTTAAAAATAGTCATAAAATAAAAGGCTGCCCTGGTAGAGTATTTTGTGCCTTGGGAGACAGCTGAACGCACTTACTAAGCACTTCCCAAAATAAAGATAAGGATGACAGATCAGAGACTAAATGAATCCATTTATCATTTGGGAATGATTTTGTTCCAGAATCCAGCACTGCAAACGTACAAGATACCATGATGGTCACTATTCAGCACAGCACGGACATCCTAGTTCATACTCTCAGCAAACTCACAGAGTTGGTATGAAAGCTCATTAGCTCATCCTCTATTAAGAGCTTTTAACTCACTGGGAAAGAGGGTGTCCAAGACCAGATAAAGTGTTTAGGCTATGATTTATATGTACATGTCAATCTCTGAAAATACACCTCATCCTAATTTGCAATGGCGCCAGAATGCTGAGTCTCATTTGCTTCACAGGCCCTGCTGCTGTTGGTATTTAATAACTCAGTGTCAGCAGGATCTTGATTTAATAACTTTCCTGAGAGAGTTGCTACCAGTGAGTGAAGGGAAGAGGCAATAATGGTTGCAGTATCCATAATGACATGCACTAAAGACGGGGGTAAACTGATATTCTCTTGAAAAGACCTCACAACTACTTCCTTTCATGACAAAGTTCTGCCCTTTTGTTTCTGAGAGGTTCTTCAGGTGGACCCTTATTTCCATTAATCACCAATTAGTATGATATTGAAAGCTAAGAGCATGCACAAAACTCAGCAACATGGTACTACAATGCACGTACTTAGCTTCCACAAATATTTTCTGAGTAACTGAATGTTCCAGATCCCCTTCTGGACACCTGAGATGCACAGTGAACCAAGGAGATGAAACCCCTGTCCTTGGGGAACTTACATGCTAGGGCAAGGAGGGAACAGCACCACTCCTTCATGAATCCATGTATTTACTTATCCGTTGGCCCCTATCTATGAGGCACTATGTTCTGTGCTGGGGAGACCAGTTCAAATTAGAAAGTGTCCTCCAGCTCAAAGCACAAGGAACCCTAGGGAAACCAACTCCTCTAGAAGAGTTACAACACTCTTCTTAGTTCACAGTTTTGCAAAAACAGCTGTAGGATGGATTTGGTCTGTGAGTCACAATTTACCATAGCCCTTTGACTTAACAGGCATAACAGGGTCAAGGGAAGCTTCTCAATGGTGGTGACACCTAATGATTTTTAAAGAAAAGACCATCACTTGTGTGTGTGTGTGTGTGTGTGTGTATGAGAGAGAGAGAGAGAGAGAGAGAGAGAGAGAGAGAGAATATCTAAAGATAGAGGTGTTTGAAGTTTGAAGAAACAGGGTAGCACAGAGAATGGCTGAAAACTATGGGATTTAATGTAATTCTGTAAAAACAATTTGGCAAAAAGTTAATATTCCATTTTTTTCTAGTGTTGCCACTTTTGGTGGGTTAAGAATACTAAACAGACATATGTTGTATAGTTTCTGCATGAGCTTTTCTTTTTAATAAAAATATTAGATGTGATCATTAAGAAAAATCAGAACATAAATGTACATCTAAGCAAAAGAACATATAGAATCTCCATAACTCACATACACAAAATGGCTGTTGACCCTTTAGTGTATGTCTTTTTAAATCCTTAATGCATATCTGAACATGTACACGACTACTTTTTCCACAAATAGGAGAAGATAGTTTACATATCATTATACAATCCACATTTTATTTAAGCAATTACAGTAACTGTTGAATATGTAGATTATTTTGACTGTTCCAGCTCATCCCTTATTACTTAGTTATTCCAACTTGTAGCTTTTCCAAAGATCCCTAGGAAAAAAGATTGGAAGATTAGAGCTAAAAAGCTGTCTTCCAGACAGGTGAGGGTTGTGAGGCATCAATGTTGTATACAAAACTGGAAATTAGGGGTTAACCACATTGTCGTGTTTACCAAGTTTCTCTAGGCCAGATGCTAAGCCTATTTGGCCCACAGATGTGTATATTAGCAAAATGCTTTTCAGAAAGTCAGGAAAATATTCTACATCTGCATAAAAAGACTGGCATGGAACACAACCTGAGCTACTCAATTATGAAAGCCACAAGGAACAGTGAAAGATTGCAAGAGGAGTGGCATGATGTTTATATAGATTTTTAAAATACAATTCATGTAACTGAGAAATGGAAGGGTGGATTCAATGAGGCCTAGGCTGGGAGCAGAAGAGTAATTAGACTGCTGTAATGATCTAAGAATGAAGGGATGCCAACTTGAAGCATGAATGAATGCTACCTAGGTTTAGAGATCAGAACAAACAGAACAGCAATTAGGAAAGCATAAACTCCATAGAATCTAGTTGCTAGTTGAATGTAGGGAGCAGGGGGCAAAAAACAAAGGAGTCTAGATTGACATCTGCATTCCTGGCTGAGCCATATGGGTGGTCCCAAATCTCACAAAATGGGATAAGGAATATAGTACAGGCAGGTTCTGGAGTTCAGTTTAAAATACATTGCCTCTGCATTACCTGTCCATTTGAATGGATGAGTCTGGAACGTTGGGGTAATTTTGCTGGAAGTAAGGATTTGGAGGTCATGTAGTATAAGTGTCATTTGAAGAGATGGGTTTGGGAGTGGGAATTTGGCACAGCACTCAAATCACCATTTGAGACACCTACATTCCTATATTACAGTACCTTGTTTGAGTCTTGTCTACACTGCTTCCGACTCATTGTCCTACAGACGTGCACCTTGGGAGTAAGCAGATGATGCCTCAAGCACTTGGGTCCCTGCCACCCACATGGGAGACCCAGATGGAGATTCCAGCTTTGGCCTGGCTTATCCTTGACTGTTGCAGCCATTTGGGGAATGAACCAGCAGATGGAGGATTTTTCTCTGTCTCTCCAATAAAATGAAAATAAAAGTCCTCCCCCCGCTTAAAAAGCAGGAGTTTGGATATGAGAGAGAGAGTGTGTGTGTGTGAAGAACAGCAGAGACAGTATGGCCAAAGAGGACAGAGAAACCAGAGGAGAGTCATGTTGCAAAGCAGAGAGCTACACTAAGCAAGGAGCCATTAACAGAAAAAAAAAAAAAATTAGGGAATTACAGATACCGAAAGTGTCCACTTTATTGGCCTTGGTGAGAGCAAGTTTACAGGATGGTGGAGATGGAAATTAGATCATAGGGGTCAAGTGCATGACTCACCAAGATGAAGGGTATTTTGCATAGTTTCAAACAATGAGTATGCTGCTGCCATAGAGAATCAGAGGGTCACAAAATCTCAGAATAAAAAGTCACATCTTCCTGGTATGTCATTTTTACTTGACAAGAGAAAAATATTTAATATATAAAAAGTATTTTATGTATGAACTTATATCTAAGATAAAGTCAACTGGAAACTTCATCCAGAAGTGACAGCTCAATGTCTTCAAGATTCCGGAGAATTCCTTGATGGATGGAAGGATGGGGCTGAAGGTTTATCAACATAGGGTCATCCTTGGGTCCATATTCTACACGTGCATCTGGTGAACCTATGATTAATGCTTGTATCCCAAAGCACATGAACCACATCATCCCCTTTTCTTGATTTCTATATTCAATATTGCATGGAAATTTGGGAAACTAAGTTGGGATTGACATTACAGTGATACAAATGTCTTCAAATTGAACATGAGATACTCTGTTGTTAAAATCCTCTATCAGAGGTATTTTTCCCACCAGCTATTTTATCCCATATAAGTCTGTGTTTTCTTGCTAGTAAGTTATTCCATCCTTCCTTTTCTCACCCTCCTAGATGACTCTTGGGAATTTCACACAGTAAATTCATTTCTCTACCTCTTCCCAAAGGCAGTTCTAGTTTTATCTTTGCAAATCCAAACTGCTCAATGTGGTCAGAAGATCAAAAGGGCTTTTTATTTAACAAGAGTCACTCTAAATAAACAGCTGTCAATAGAATTTTTCACTCGTTGGAAAATGGTACATCTTCTCATTGACAACCACAAAAACCCTTGCTAAGTCACACAATCTGTTATCTGGATTAGTGCATTGATGTTGCTTTCTAATTAGTTTCTCCATCTCCATTCTCATTCACCCTCAATATGTCTTCAACATGCCAGAGTGATAATTTCCCAAAATGCAACCCTGATTACATCAGTTTCCTGCTTACAATGTTTCAGTGGTAATCCATTTTCTGTAAAGTCCAAATTCTCTTTTAGTACCTACTACATTTTGTCTTGCCTTAAATTATCTAAGTACATGTCT